CGCCGACGTGGTCGGGCAAGATTTTCTCCAACTTCCCGTCGGCCACGGGGCAACCGTAGTGGCCCAACAGCGTCCGAAGAGCAAGTTTCATCAGAATCTTCGAGTCGCGACTTTGCATTCACTTCCCTTGGGCCAGCATCATCTGTAGGAGAAGAAGCACAACAGCCTTTGTCTCCTGTGCATACTTCATCGTCGCTGACGACTCCATCTCCGACACAATCTGCAACGAATCCTCCAAGTCTGCTGCCTACTCACTCGTCACTCAACCCCCTTCTCAATGCTACAGTTGTCCCACGTTCAGCAACAAGATCGCAATCCGCGTCCACAGCACGTGACGGACGTACCAAGGTGTATTACCAAGGGTATGCATTCACGCGCTCAAATGTAACAGGTGTGAAAATAACATACTGCTGCAGCTCATATAGGAGAAATTGTCCAGCTCAATTTGCTTATTTCGCTGAGACAATGTCTTTTGACTTTGCAAATATGGAGCCACATACATGCCGTGCTAACCCCGCTCTTAGTGGGACCGTCATGGGTGAAGGTGAACACTGTATTGACGTTTCAGCAGCGATAATGGAAGAAGTGGACAGACTAGCGAACGAAACTACTATGACGCAAAAGGAAATTTGGCTTTCGATCGTTAACAAATTCTACATGCTGGACGGACCTCCAGTTCGTGGAGTGTCAAAAGGAGCCGTTGAAAACCGAGTTCAAAACGCGCGAGGAAAGCGCAAGGACGGTGGCCCCACGAGGATCATTGAGAAGCCGCCACTGTCAAAGGTTAGCGGTGGCCACCGAGGCTTTTTTCAATTTTAATATTCCTGGCACAACGACACCAAAGCGCAGAAAGACCCTGCTGGCATCGACAGAATCATTGGGTGGGCTAACCCCGCGCTGTTTAGTTTGCTTTGCTTTGAGAATTTATCGTGGTACATCGACGGCACCTTTCGATGTGCACCCAGTGACTTCAAGCAATGCGTCACAGTTATGATCTATGATCAATCCAGTAAGCTGTATCTTCCTGTGATTCATGCGCTCACTACGTCGATGACAACAAAAACATACCTTAAACTACTTCATTGTGTCCAAGATTCAGTTGGAAGCAAACTCGTTCCGAAGGATGTAGTATGCGACTTCGAGGGGGCGCTTATTGGGGCGATTCGTACGTTCTTTCCGGATGTCCGCATT